CGTGGACGGGTTTGTAATATTTTCGAACAAATTTTGGTAAGTTTAATAATTAGTGAGAAGTCGACATTTATTTTTGAGTATGCATGTTTTTCAGTTAAGGTTTTCTTTAAATAGAGATCTTCATACGAATTAAAAGTCGGATGGAACTCTTTTTACAATTTTCGGTGTGTGTTTTATACTTTCCGCGTTCGAAAAGTCATTGGTCGCCTCTGAATGGCTAGTGACTTTTATCTTGAGAATTATTTTCAGGTAATTTTTGAGAGGAATGGCGACCCTAGCTACAATTGAAGTTACATTTTACATGTTCCGACAAATTAGCAGCTTCTTGAGGAGAAAAGAACGTGTGCAAAATTTCGAATCGATATCTGAAAACCTGACTAAATCGACTCAACTCATCACGCTGATCAGTCAGATACAGTGAAATTCCTCATAACCCATTTTCGCTGTTTTTGTTTGGCTAAGCTAGCTGTCAATAGTGGGGGGACGTGGCAAAAATGAGTGTTTAAAATGTATTCTAAGAGTTAGAAGCTGCAACTCAGAACTATATTTTTATTGAGTTAAAAAAATCCGAGCCAATATCAGCCAAGAATGAATGAATGACATTTATCCCATTAGTTTCCAATGAGCCATCTCGAACCAAACGGCACAAAACAAGCGCAAAACAAATTGTTTGCTGTGATTATTTTAGATATTATTCTTAAAAGTATCTGTATCAAAACACAAAAAATTATTAAGAAGATTTCTAGAAAAATCTAATATGATCTTGTCCGTCTATCAGAGATAATTTAAACGAAATGTTACCAAATAAATATCTGTGTCCGGGCATTGGAACGTACTCATCGGCTATAGTAATTACTTTTGTATGAAAATAATGCTAAAAGTTTTGTGTTTATGAAATCTGAATTGAATGAATTTCATTGTAATATAGTACTTTATAAGGTACATTACGTCTCACTCTAAATATAACTATATATTGTGGCATACTTGTTATATCCTGTTTCGGGTATAATAATATTGTATGACAATATGGTAAAATTTGAAGAAATTCACTTTTTAGAGCTAGCAGTAAACCACAGTTACTTAAAAACATCCATTGGACTAAAGTATTACTAACATAACATCTGATGAAGAAACAAGTTGCTGTATCTTCATAATTCATGAGCAGCAATTCCTGAAACTATTTCCATATAGTTTTTAGAACGTCAGACCTTTCTTGCTTTCTAAAGTGTCAAGATTTGAACCCACTATCTCACCAAATTAGTATTAAGTATTATTTAGACAGCTTAGAAAGAGTTCGAATTTAAAACTATCTTTAGTTTACCAAAGATTGCAAGTGAGACCGAATATCCTCATTACTGCAACCTTCATTTTTAAAAATGTATAATAACTACTTGAGATCCATGTTTTGTGATATGAGTGTTAGTAGTGAAAAATAACAAATTTTTCGACTTTTGGGTCTATTTTATCAGAACCGGTAAATATTTTGAGCTTATCAGTAACTGCCAGCCCGCTACATTTCCATTTATGCTTTTTGGATGAAACTTTCTACTTTTAACACAACAACAAAAATAATTTGAAATCCTTCAGGCCAAGAGAATTCTATAATATAACTGTATGCAAAACGAAAGTGAGCAGAAAGGTGGAAAATTGTTGAAGAAATTATCATTAAAAACGGTAAAAAATCGACTATTAAATAGAAAACTATGAAAAATCATGGAAACATTATCAAAAGTATGTAGATAAAACGGTGAATTAATCTCTGCGAAAGCATCGGCAATTATCAACCGAAACAACACCACGCAAATACCACCAAATCTAAGTCAAATTACAAATGCAAACGCCCAATTGAAATGCTTGGCAACGCAACGCTCCAAGCCTGCCATTTATTAGCAATTTCATGCCGCATCTGTATATGTATACATGAGTGTGTGTGTGTTAACATCTCGATATTTACATGCGGTCATTTAGTTCGCCTCGAGCGATTTTCATTAATAAACATGAGCGCTGCGAACACAAGAGCAGCTTGTTGTTGCTCTTGTTATTGCTTTGTTGCTGGCGCTGCAGAAGAAGCGCGAAACGGACGCAAACAAGTTAGGAAGCTGCCGCCAAGTGCAAGCCATGCGACAGGAACAAGATTAATGCGAGCGGCCGCTAAGAAAATTGTCGTCTTGCACGCAGGCAACGGCTGGGAGGCGGGGAGGTGGAGGCGGAGGGTGGAAACGCAGCAGTGCCGATGTTGGCTGTATAAGCAGTTGACCACAAAATTGCGCGTTAATAGCAGCATGGAAGAATGGCGCGGTAAGTGCGCCAAGAATTGTGGCGGCGTGGAACGGCGCAGAAACGCTAGGAATTCGCTGGCGAAACAGCATTAGCATGTAGCGCTTGCCACATATGGCCACAGCGGCGTACGTGCATATGAGTGAGTGCCACTACAAAGAGACATATGTGTGTGCGTTTGAGCGCTCATAAATTACGACAAATATACATTTAGTATATGAGCAGATATATCTTTGAATTTATTGTTGCTGGAAAGGCAGCGCGCATATGTGTGTCTGAAAGCATGTATGTATGTGTGTGCATATTTATGGACATTATGTAGTGTGTTTCCCACCGCAACCAATGGCACTCTACTAATCAATTAAGCGGTGTTGCTGCGCCAACAACGGCTACAGTTTAGTTAAATATGCGGCATATAGAGCACGAGGCGGCGCTAAGCATGGTACTTAAGATATGCTATATTGCAGCGGCGCCAGGTTATGAAACCAAGCGTGAGATTGTCATTGCCGCTGCTTCATTCTATTTGCATATTTACAAACACATATATGTATATACATATGTATGTATGTAGGTTGTGCTTAGTTGTGTTTGTGTTGGTTGCCTTAATCAATTCCAATAAATATTAGCATATAAATATGTCTGGAAAGCTAAATGCTTTTAAATATTGCCATAAATTTGATTATACACAATTATTTGTTTCATAGTTAATTGATTTACTTTGTTCTATAAACAATATTGTAATTTGATGCGTCAGTTTGAATATCAGCGATATGCTATATGTAGGGTTTGTCCGAAAAGTAATAGGACTGAGTCGATTAAAAAAAAAATGATTGCATTAATCGTTACAATTCTTTTAAAGCTTTCAAAATAGGCTCCTCCTGCGTCGATGCAGCGCTCCCAGGTGCTCAGAGACAACGGAACATCCGCTTTTTCATTATTCCTCTTCCGAATCCAGTTGGTGAGCGCTCGCTCCTATTACATTCCAGAAGAACCCTGTAGACTAGAGTAGATAATTTTTGAAAATAAAAGAAATTTTTACAAGATCAAAATAAAACTTTAAAACTAGGTTTTGTAAATTTTTTCATGAATTTTGTAGTTATGTGAACAAATTCAACCAACGAAAGTTATAGATATTTTCATTACCTACAAACAAAAAAAAAACAACATTGCTATATAACTTTTTTCTATATGACTCGTAGTTGTACCGGAAGTCGATATAAACAGTGTTTAACTATTATAAATTCAACCTCGCCCGTCCCTTCCTTTTGCCGAACACAGTTCGTTATTTTTTCTAGGACTAAGCCATCTACTTATATACAGACGCACATATGAAAATCGATTCAAATCCCCGGTGTTTCTTTCTGTGTGTTCCAAATATCTGGCAAACTTAAGATTTCCTGTTCAAGGTATGAAAAGTGTGGAAATCCTGCCAAAATAGCAAAGTTAGCAGGTAACTTTCGTAGTTCCACTTGCTTTGATACCCACATTGTGTGTTCACTAATTTCGTTATTGCTAAGTATACACGTGGCAGCTCTCAATTTTTTTTTTCAAATAAAATATAAACTATCCTTATTTTAGATAATCATTTAGAAACAAGATTTTAAAATATTAATTTTTCATAATAACAAAAATACAAACAGGTGGCAACGCTACAAAAAATATTCTATACATTTCGTTTTATCACTTTCTTTTTTAAATACACAGACATGTTCAGAAGAAAAGCATTTTTGTTCCAATATATTTATTAAATATATTTCATAAACATTTACTTTGTTGCTAGCAACATGTTGCACTACCTATTAAGGAAACAATTAATGGCAAAAGTGTCTAAATTTCTTACACATCGCTTGTTTTCCAAAATCTATTTGGTTGCTTAATATAAAATTTCAAAACAAAACCATTTTTATAGTTCCAACACTAAAATATGCTTTTATAAAAAAAAAAACCAATTAGTTGTCAACATGCTGCACTGCTACATTGCGTATTTAACGCAATATATGTAACCAACACTGCGATCGCGTGAGTGTTGCTAGAAATACCAAACACTGATTCTATTACAACAACAACTTCGTAGCGAGTACTGACACTCAGAGCGCCGCAGAGCACGCAAGGTCGGAGTGAAAGAAAGTGCAAAAGTTGCCAAGCGACAACAATAAGTACAACAACATACGCAAGCTAGTGAAATGAGAGCAGTCAATCTTTGCAAGAGAGCGCATCAAATGAGAAAAACCAAAGGGGGCAAAAGCAAACCTGTGCAACTTGCTATGGCACAATCACAGCTTTGGCGAGACCAAAAGAAAAGCCAGCACACAAAGCGGGCCAACAAAGAAATGCAGAATTTTGTTGAGCATATGGCAATTGATTGCAAGCAACAAGTTCGATGTGCGCTTCGAACTGCCAGTCAACAGTGAAAGAAATGACGGCAGAAATGAGCGCGCTGTGACTTAGCCATGACCATGTGGCGGTCACGGCCAACAAAGCTGGGAAAATGTTTTGCAACAAATGCCGCTGACGAACTGGCGTATGTGTGTGTGCGTATGCGTGTTTGTTGCTTTGGCGCGCTCTCACAGCCAACTTGTGCTGACGCGCTCAGCAGCTGCGCATCCGCTTCGCTTTGTGGGTCTGGTGCCCGTGCTGCCTCCCTGGCTGCACTCTGGTTGCAGATGGCCGTCGCAGATGGGTTTGGTTGGGCCAAAAGAAATTTTAAAAGACGCTGCAAAATCTGTTTGCTGAACATTTGTACCGCTGCGGTGCTACTAGTTACAGCTCGTCGAGTTCGTCGCTTAAGACTTTCGTTTCACAGTTTGTTTTGCTAAGTTAAATACTCTTTTGTGTCTAAACGCTTGTGTGCTAACTTGATTTTTTCCTCGGTTCATGAAAACACTGTTTGGACATTATTTTTTAAAGCGTTTTTTGTGTGTGTAATCACTTGACTGTTGGTCAAACGGGCACTTTAAAGCAGAAAATCCGATTTTAAACGAGTGAACTAAAAAAAAAGAATGCCAGAAATCTTTAAAAGTAATTTAAAAACATAGAAAAAGATTTAAACGGGCATTGTGTGTAAATGTTGATGCTACCGACAAACTTATATATAAAGAGACTAGCTGTTTGAGGTGGATGTGGCAAGCGTAACGCCGTTGCGGCATTGCACGCGAAGTGAAGTAACCGACCAACACAAAGGTGGAGGCTTAAGCTTGAAAAGAAGTCAAGAACAGTTAGTTGACACTAATACGGCTTGTCGCTGAATTTATTATTTTATTTTCATTTTTTGTTTGCCTCGCAGCAGCTGGCAAAAGAATCAAGCAAGAAGCTAAAGACAAAGAGTTGTGTAAAAGGTGGCTGGAACTGTGAGTTGGGCAGCAGGACTACGGCAGACGTGATTGAAGTGCAGTAAATGCGAAATGCAAGAGGAATTAGTGGCGCATGTTAGATAAAAACGTGTGAACGAATAATATTTTTCTAGATATTTGTAGAATATAAAAACATAAGTGAAAAAAAGAAAATATTTAAAAATTTTATTGAAAATAACAAGGCTAATATTTTTAAAACTACTTGTAATTGAAGTAGTTGAAAAAATATCGTATGAATTTTTCCACAAATATTACAAATACAAATATTAAGTGCTAAAGTAATATTCTACGGATCCCTAAGCGAAATTGCATAACAGAAAGCAACAATGAGATCCTCGCGTTTATCCTCATTGGCAATGCTGGTGGCTGCTACATGCCTCACCAGCTTATTACAGCTCTGCAGCAGCAACGCCGAATATCCTGGCGTTATCGAGCTAGTCGGCTATAGTAATCGGCGCGCACGCACACACTACATGCCACCAATTGGCGATAGTCCCACACTTGCGCCACCACCGTCCAAAATACAGGCTGATATCGAGACGGTGAAAGCGAATATCGAAAAATATAATAAACTGCTGACGCTGGATACGAAAAATCTGCCAGAATCGCAAAAGGATATGCTGGAGCGCATAGTGGAGCGTGTGGCACGTCTCAAGGAGTCGCTCGACATTAATGAAAGCGAGCAACTGAGAGCTGCTGCGAAGCCAGCGGATAGTGAGAACAGCAATAGTGATGCTGCAGCAGATAGAACTTTGTATGCTACCACAGAGGCCGCAACCAACGCTGAGGCCGAGACCGATCCCACTTTGGTCTTGGATGAGACTACACTGCTACAGTTGCAGACCTCCATGAATGAGTTGGCTGCGGCACAGGCCGCTGTCACTGCACAAACCTCGGTTGCACACGAGTTGCCAACCACCACGGAATACAATTACAATGCTGGCAGCGATGAGGTCGAACAAACGGAGAGTGCCACAGATAGCACTGAAAATGAGGATACCACTGAAGGTGCGCTGGCAGCCGGCGCTGATTATCCCACTACCACAATTGATCCGCTCACCGACGCCACCGATTCCGATGATCAATTCGTTGCAGCACGCTCCAACAACAATATAGCAGCAGCTTCAATCAAAGCCGAACCAGAGGACTTGAATGGTGGTCTCACCACAATTGGCAGCCAACGCACGTTGACCACCAGCGGCAAATTGACAAAGACGCGCGCCACCAAGAGACCCGGTTCTGGCGGTATTACCAAAACGGGACATACCTCGAAACGGGGCCAGAAGCCTGGCACCACTGCTAGCCTGCACCGGCAACCGGCCAGCAATAAGCAGAAATTGGCCACAACCACCACGCAACCACTGCAGACCTATCATCATCAACAGCAGCCACAACAACAACAATACGTGCACAAACAGCCACAGCTGCAATATCAGAAGCCTCAAACGGCGCAACTGCCGCAGTCCGCTTCCTCGCCCATGTACCAAGCGCACAAGGTGTCTGCGTTGCCGCCTGCCACACAGTCCACCGATAAGACTTCAGCTGCCGCTGCCGCCGCCGCTGCTGCTGCCGCTGCGGCCTCCACAGCGTCCATCGCTTCGCTGCCATCCACTTACTCCTCCACGCCGATCRCTACCACCTTGGCCAACAACTATGGCAATGCCAATAATAATAATGACATGGACTACGAGCCCCAAGTGAATACGTCGGCGTTAATTGATAGCCTGAATCATGCACGCGAGGAATTCTACCAGCAGAAGCAAGGCATCAGCAACAAGGATAAGGTGAGTTCCCTAGTCTTAGCCTGGGTAATGCGACAGCTTTCCATGGGTGGGGAGGGGGATTACAGTCAGCGCTAGTTGCGTGCGTGCTTATATGTAAAATGGTGTCACACTTGGCGGCAATTGGACACTCGTTGAGATGTTTGACGGCGATAGGCCAATTTGGCTGTGCTAAGTCCACACACCTACTCGTTTGTCTTATTAGGTTCACTCCCGTTGATGGGTATGAATACTATTTATGGCAAAGACTGCTTATTATTTGCATTTTTTGCTAAGAAAATTGATATATTATAATTAACTATATTTTTAATGTGTCTTCATTTTCGACTCACGCAATAAATGAAAGCTTTGAAATTAGGCGGTTAAAGATGTCTACAGCTCCAATACCGAAACTCGTTATGAATTTAGAAAAAAGTTAATAAATCTCCTAAATAAAAGGCGCTCAAATTGGTTATAGAGATATAGAAGGCCTGGTTAAAGTAAAGTGGCCATTTTGAAAAAATATTTTTTCTCGAAGCAGTATACACAATTCCAAAAAAAAAAAAAAAAAAAAAAAAAAAAAAAAAAAAAAAAAAAAAAAAAAAAAAAAAAAAAAAAAAAAAAAAAAAAAAAAAAATTTAAAATTGTTGAGTTCTTCGATATATCTCTGAGAATATTGAAAATTTTTTTTATCTAAAAGTATATTCTGCAGTGAATAAATTGATATTCATAACTACTAGAAGCATAAAAATTATATGGATCACTTTTCTATTTTAAAACCATTTTCCCAAGCTGCTACTACTTCTATTTTTGTTATAAAATAGCAAGCTTTATTCTCAATGATTCTCATTACAAGACGGTAAAAAGACAGCTCGAACTTAACTTCAGTTATGACAACTTAAATGAAGATTTTGAAACTGCACGAAAAACTCTTTAATTGATTTTAAAAACAAGTAAAAACGTAAGCCCCCCTGGCACCGAAATATTTTTAACAAATAAAATGTTTCCAAATTCATTTTGATTGGTCGAAGTAGTTTGGCAGCATATGCTCTAGTAGTCACATATCTACAATTTTTTCTAAGATTGTACTTACAACTTGGATTATAACGCGAGCTAGAACGCGTGTCATAAACAAAATATCCACCAAAATCATTCGCAAGAGATGTCGAGTTCTCTTGCCAACTCTCGTCTGACGATTTTCAAGCACCATATTCTGCACCTTTTTAATATTTTCATCAGTTGAAGAGGTCTACGGTCGTGTTTGAAGGCTTTGTACCACTCGTAGGCTCATGTTTTTGATAAAACTGAATCACCGTAAGCCTTTTCTAACATTCGCAACGGTTCCGCACACGAAAGTTTGTTAAACTACCGAGGTGTACCGACTTAAGCAGCTGTTTTAAACAAACTGGCTGACAGATTGCGCTCATATTTGGATTTGCAAGTAAAGGCAATCCTACCAATTTAGCAAAATACATTTTTGTTTAAATAATATTTACCCTGGGAATTTAGTTACAATTTCCGGATGATTTTTTGCCACAATGTATACGAAATCCGCCAAGTTCTTCTCTTGTAAACTAGCTAGATTTCACATTTAATTTATGGTTCCTGCATTTTGGCGCTTTGTAATGCTAAATCTGCCTTGAAAAATGTTTTTGTCGCTCAATAAAAGTAAATCAAGTTCACTGATAATCGCAAAATCTGACTCCTATAACCAAAGGGACCAGCAGACGCTTCAACGTGCCTTGTATACTTCTATGGGTGTTCAAAACATCTCGTTGAAATTATGAGATCAACAGAAACACGCACACACACTTGCAAGAAGTGGCAAGCGGCTGTAGCAAAAGCACGAGTAATAACAGTATCTATTGACTGCGGATAGAGTACTGATTGCCTGCCAAGTAATGTAACAAATATGTGCAACAACAGCAACAACAATGGCAACATTATAAATGCGTGTAGCGCAAGGCAAACGATTGTTTCGGTGAATGCCACTTGTTGCAATCGAAGAAAACCGTTTCACAACATTAACAACAGCAATAGCAACAACATGCAAGCCAACAACAAAAGCAGCAACATTAAATGAAACCGATGCCATGGAGATAGTTGCAACTGCATTCGACTATTATTGCTGTATTTTCAACTCAACAATGTTGTTGTTGCTGTAGTTGGTATGAATTGATTGTGATTGCTCGGCACTGAACTCGTGGCCTTAGCGTTGCGCTGCAGCGTCGGAGCAACAAAGTAGAAATTATGAAGAGATATTCTTGCCGCATATTTGTGTGTGTAGTTGTGTGTCTGGCACATTATTTGTTGCAACTTTGCGCTGATGCTGGTGGTTTCAAATTGATTGTCATAAAAGCTATACATATATACTGTTTTATGTGCATACATATGTAGGTATACATATACATAGTCATTGACTGCAACAACAGCAATCGTGCCCGAAAGCAATTGTTATAAACATACGGATAAAAGCACAGTTTGCACTGGCGAACTAACGGCAATTGTAATATCAACTGCAGTAAATAGCATAATGGCACATCAATAAACAACAGTAATGAAACAGTTGAGGACAAGTACTCGCTACTCGTTGCGCTCTTGTGTGCCCGTACAATGTATTTATGTGCTGCTCTCGGGCAACTATTCGTCTGTGGCGAAGCAGAATTCGCACACAAGTGCTAAAAGCCAATCGTACGCCGCATTAAAGAAGAGTGGAAATACGGTTGATCGATTGTGCACAGACGTTTATGACACACTGTAGACAGTATAACTGTATAGGTATACGTTTTTATAAGTTCACTTTGCTATACAAATACATAAGTACAAATATACACGTAGCAACAAATATTAGAAAGTTATGTCTATGTAATATTAGCTACACTGAAATGACGAAGGAACTCTGCAAGAAATATAACGGTGTTGCAGTATGGGTAAGGTCATGTGTAGTAAATTACAACAAGTTTAAAATGAGACATACGGAGATGTAGAGCTGGGTATACATAATTAACAGAAATATTTTGGTATATTGGAAGGTTCTTTCACGCGGCAAAGTAAAGTTTATTCGAAAAAAAAACCTGCCAAAATCGAAATGAAAGATTAAGATATATATATTCCATAATCATAACTGGTTGCGAAGGCAGATATATTAGGCTTCCAATGAAGTTTCTGGCACCCAGAGGGAAAGGTCAGAGACTCTATAAGGAATATATACACACGTTGCTGTGATATACTTTTTTTCTATCATTCATATAATAAACTATTCAATACAGTAAAAAATTTATTTACGAATAAAGGCGACAACGTTTTTGTCAGTATAAGAATCCAAGAGATTGTACTTGAGGTTTAATTTTGATTATGTTTCATTGGAAAAATTAATGAATTAAGGCTGTCCTTTCTGTCCAGTTAATATGTAGTGTTGTCCGCTTAATAGATTGTACTTAATAAATATTAACAAATTGTGGGACCGGCCAATGTGCATGGTTAATGGAGATGTCCGCTTAATAGGGCGTCCATTTAAGAGATCTTTCACCATATTCTTTATTTATTAATTGTTTTAACTATCTTCCAAGTTGGTTCGAACTGGACACAGTGTGCTAAATTTGCTAAAATCGGTTCAGTAGTTTAGGGGTGCAACGCGGACAAACAACGTGACACGTAATTTTTATATATAAAGAAGAAGAAGAAAAAGATATAATGGTAAATGATCAGCGAGATGAGTCTATTGAGCTATTTTTCGTTTTCCTGTATGTATATATGCGCGAACTAATTCACAGTTTTAAGGTTCTGACCTTAAATATTGTACACCTCCGTTTCTCCCCAAGAAGCAAGTAATTTTTTGCAACCACCGATATAGAAATAGGTGCTTTACTATCTAACCTATCAAAAGTCCTTTTATCGAAAACTCTTTAGTTTTTGACTTCAGAATCACCTTCTCAACTCGAGTGGAGAAGATTTTATTATATCGAAACCTCTTTGGTCTATAAAACCTCGAAACGAGCACTATAAAATGGAAATATTGGGTAGTCGAAAAAGTCTTTTCGTGTTTCTAAACAAACTACAACTTTTTTTATGTATGTATGTATAATAATAAATAAATAAACAAATATGTACCAATTTGGGCGCCCACTTTTTGCAATTTTTTCGCAAATCGAAATTTCAAAAATGCTAGAACGTAAGCGAGCGAACCATTGTTGTTCTACAATCCGTAACCATAAACTTGACAAATTTCATGGGTGGCTTACGTGGCATTCTTTCCACTTTTATACAAAAATTTCGAAACATAGCGAGTTTCTTCATTATTTTCACTCATTTTTGAACCGCTGCAACTTGTTTTCAAATGCCACGAATTTTGTTTCTTTGGTGAAATGAAGCTTAAAATCTTAAATCTGTTATTGATAGCACGGGAGATATACGACTGCAACGGCATCTATTGACAAAATACGAAAAGACTTTTTCGACAACACAATATATGTTAATGTAATAAAAATATTGTTGACGTTATTAAAAAATTTGGAAAATTACATATTTTCTCCCACTTTCATTAATTCGCAACACCTTTATTATAATAACCTGATGCTCGATTGCTCATCATAAGCACCTGGCAGTATCTAACAGCACACATTGAAACAAAGACAGAAATCAAGAAAACTCGCAAATTTCGGTCCAGCAAACCGCAGTGGGTGTTGCAATGAGCGCCGGCGACTCTTTCCAGCTTTCTATTAGCCATTGCACGCTTTGTTTGGCGCACACTGTGTTTTTATGCAAGCACATTAATATGCTGTTGTCGTTGTTGTTTCTTTTGTGTTTTTGTTTTGAGAATCCAAGTGCGGTTTGCAATTTGTTACTACTGACCTATAAATTTAATTCATTTGCTATGGTCAATGCCAATGGCATTTGTGGTGGCGGAGTGTCCGTTGCCACATAAATTATCCGCGCCAGCATGTCTTCTGCCTGCCCGCGCCGGCAGCAACACCAAATGCTGCTGCGGAAAACCACAGAAGCGCGGAGTGTGTGGTGTGTGGTGT